TAAAAAATAAGTGCAGTCTTACGTTGAGGTAACTCAAGGCGCAAGGCGTGGCTGCCAGACTCAGCATGAATATACACTTTGATCTTGTCGCATATGTCTCGAAAGCAATACTCTTCCTGGACGGCAAAGGATATCTAAGAGCAGATACCTTCTCGCAATTGTCAGATCACTAATATGATACTACGATAATAAAGAGAATATATCAAACAAAGTATGCCTTCGAGGCAGGTGCAGACCGAAGCTATTTCTTCCCCCCGTATTTGATGATGTCACTGCCGCCCAAAATCCATACTTTCTCGCTACCAGGAGGAACATCACCGTCCAGAGCTTTGAGGCCTGCATTGACCGCTGCTCGAGCAATAACGTCTGCATCTTGAGCCCACCCATTTTTCAACCCCGAATGAACTTTCCCGGCAATGCCAGCAATGAAGCGGAATGCAGCCTCAGCTGGTCGACTCTCCTCCCGGTGGCCGGAGATCAGACCTGGGCGCAAAATCACCGTTCGCTCAAACCCCAGGGCCTTTACGTCTTCTTCAATCTCCCCTTTCATACGGGGATACGCGAAAGAAGACGTCTTACTAGCCCCGCCTGACGAAATCAGGACATAGACTTTCGTACCGGCATCGCGCGCTGCGCGAGCCATTTCTACATTCAGACCATGCTCCACCTTGTACTGATTCTCGAATCCACCGGCGGCTGCACGAGTAGTGCCAAAGGCGGATATGAAGATGGATGGAGTTGGAGTGAGAGAAGAGAGATGAGCAGCCCAGCGAGATGTATCATCGGATACAAAGGTGGTGAGCTTTGTCTGAGGTGCGGCGCCAGCAGCGGATGGAGTGCGGCGAGTGATTGTATCCACCCGAGCTACAGCGGGATTTTCAAGAAGGCTAGTGAGGATGTGACTGCCCTAGGAATTTTGAACGTTGAGTGAAGGAGATCTGCATGTGGCGGAGAGAGAGCTTACCACCAACCCAGTAGCCCCTATCAATGCCACATTCGCCATGGTATCCGGGTATATACAATGCTATCGTAGTAGGTGTACTGTACCTCTCAGTACAAAGTACCTCTGTTTGTACAATGTGTCCAAACGCCAGGGATATGGCTAGCAGAGATCACATTCCCCAGGCGCGATCGATGACGTTCGAACCGGGGCTAGACTTAGATGGGGTGCTTATGCCTCAGGCACCAGGAATAACGCACGTGCATGCTATCTGACTAATGCGGGGAGGGTCCGAAGACGGAGGATTTCCCCCAGTTTGCCGCTGTATCGATAACGCCGATAAGAAATTGCGTGATTGCCGCTAGCCGCTTTGGGCAAGGCCCTGGGACATTTTCTATACTCCAAGTCCGTCTTCTTATTGCCATTGCCCCCCTCCTCAGCGTGTGTGGTAATTCCTTCGTTTTTGTCTTTCTCTTGTCATCTGCGAGGTGTCCACTGAGTGTGTTTGATACCTAGACAAGGAAACCTCAAGATGGGCTCTGCTTCACCATCTTTGTCTGCCCTCGGTGGCCCTACATATGTCACCGCCCAGACGTTGATCCAACAAGTCGCCTACATCCTCAGCGACAAGATCTTCTCCTATTCGCCTGAATCTTTCGATCTGGACAACGCTCTGCGTGAATGGGCATCGCGTCAGGAAACCAATGCCAATGGCGAATCTACCGTCGTCAAGGCTATGGAGACCCGCCAGGGTGCTGGTAACATCGCCCTCGGCTATCTCTTCTCTCAAGATTTTGATCTGAAGAAGCGTCATGTCCCTCAGGGTATCGTTGCTTCCTCGGCCACTCTCCCTTACATGCGCTCGGCTCTGGAGCAGCTATCTCTGTTGTATTCAGTCGCTAGCCCTGTTGCTGCACACGTTGCCGCCGTTGATTACGCTGGTGAGGATGGACTGGTTTCGGATTATGCTTCCGCGCTCTCTCTCGCTGAAGAGCTTGGCCTGGGTCTTGTTTCAAGTGCCTCGGTGCATGAGGCTCAGCATATGGCTCTGCTCACGACCCTCCTTGCTTCCGTTTTGCCTTCTGTTCACATCTATGACGGTGTCCGCGTTGGTCGTGAGACCACCCGTGTCATTGATGTCCTGGATCAGGCGGGCGTTGCGCGTACCTACGAAGCCATTCGAAAGACCTTGGATGAGTCCCGTAACCGCCACCTTGACACACAAGGAAAGGTTTTGGACTTGCTCACGTCTCTGAACGGCGAACTTGGCACAGAATATGGCCTTTTCGAATACCACGGTCACGCCGAACCCGTTTCCGTTCTGGTTGCTTTCGGTACCGTCGAGGCGTCTCTCACTGCGCAGGTTGCTCGCTCGTTGGCAAAGGACGGTGTCCGCGTCGGTGTTGTCAATGTTCGTGTTTACCGTCCTTTCGTTGAGGAGGAATTCCTGCGTGTTCTCCCACAATCGACCAAGACTGTGGGTGTCCTTGGTCAGGTTATCAATGAGCAAGCCGTGCAAGAGCAAGGTGTCCGCTCCGCCCTTTACGAAGACGTGCTTGCGGCTCTGACCTTTGCGTCTGGTCGAGAACATGCGCCTACCTGTGTCGACATCAAATACCCCCGCTCTCAGCGTTGGGACCTGATAAACACTGCCGCTGCCTTCCAACTCATCTCCGAGAAGCCTATTGTTCAGCCCAGCGGAGAAAGCGCTCCTCTCCAGCTTATCGACCCTGCTACCGTGCATGAGTACACTTTCTGGGATGTTGACAGCTCTGTTTGCGAATCTGCTGCTGCTGTTCTTTCTGAGGCCCTTGCTGCTGATTCCGCCAGCAATGTCACAACAACCAAGTCTCACGACAACCTTATTCAAGGAGGAGCCGTCCGTATCGACATTCGCAAGAGCTCCAAGATTCTCGATACTCCTTATGCTATTACTGCTGCAGACACGACATACGTTGGAGACATCAAGCTTCTTGGAGATATCGATGTTGCCGCCTCCATCAAGGACAAGGGCAAAGTGATCATTAACGCCCCTGGCGTCAAGGACGATGAGTTGGAAAAGAAATTACCCTTGGGCTTCAGACAGGCTGTTGCTCAGCGTGAAATTTCTCTCTACATCATCGATCAATCGGCGGCCGGTGCCTCTGCTCCTGAATCCGCCATCCTTCAGTCAGCGTTCCTTAGAGTGGCACTTCCCTCTCAGGAAGGCGTCGGCCTTAAGAAGCTTTCTTCCATCACCGGAAACTCCGAGGCTCTTGAGAATGTCACTAAGGACCTTGACAAACTTCTCCGTCAGATTGAGATCCCTGAGGCTTGGAAGACTTCCGAAGAGGGAACTGAGGTTACTCAGCTTCCCAAGGATATCTCCATCAACAGCTTCGTTCCCTTCGACAAGGACGAAGCGGAGCCAGCTCCTCTCCTCAATGATTGGCAGGCAGCAGCCAAGGGCATCGCGTTCAAGGAGGCTTATGGCACCAAGAAGGCTCTTCGTCCCGAAACGGCCACGAAGACTTTCACCGTTCACGTCAAGGAGAACAGACGCTTGACCCCTGTCACTTATGATCGGAACATCTTCCACATTGAGTTCGATCTCGGTGACTCTGGTCTCAAGTATGATATTGGCGAAGCCCTGGGTGTGCACGCTGAGAATGATCCTCAAGAAGTTTCGGAGTTCATCACATTCTACGGTCTCAATCCTGACGATGTAGTCGGCGTTCCTAGCCGCGAGGACCCAGCTGTTCTTGAGAACCGCACGGTCTACCAGGCTCTCGTCCAAAACGTCGATATCTTTGGTCGGCCGCCTAAGCGCTTCTACGAAGCCCTCGCGGAGTTCGCCACCGACGAGAAAGAGAAGGCCGACCTTCTCACTCTGGCTGGTCCTGAAGGTGCCGTGGAGTTCAAGCGCCGCGCTGAAGTTGACACCATCACTTTCGCCGATGTCCTGCTGGAGTACCCCTCAGCTCATCCTGATTTCAACGACCTGATCCGCATCGTCGGCCCCCTGAAGCGCCGCGAGTACTCCATCGCTTCCTGCCAGAAGGTGACGCCCAACTCAGTTGCTCTCATGATCGTTGTCGTCAACTGGGTTGATCCCCGTGGCCGCGACCGCTTTGGTCTCGCCACCCGGTATCTAAGCCGACTGCAGCCCGGCACTCCGGTCACTGTCAGCGTCAAGTCCAGCGTGATGAAGTTGCCACCCAAGTCCACTCAGCCCCTTATCATGGCCGGCCTTGGAACGGGTCTTGCTCCCTTCCGTGCCTTTGTGCAGCATCGTGCCCTCGAGAAGGCACAGGGCAAGGAGATCGGAGCAGTGCTCTTGTACATGGGATCCCGTCACCAGCGCGAGGAGTACTGCTATGGTGAAGAATGGGAGGCTTACCAGGAAGCCGGTGTCATCACTCTTCTTGGCCGTGCCTTCTCTCGTGATCAGCCTGAGAAGATTTACATCCAGGACCGTATGCGCGAGACTCTGCCTGAAATCATGCAGGCCTACATCCGGGAAGAGGGTGCCTTCTACCTTTGCGGTCCCACATGGCCTGTTCCTGATGTGACTGCCGTGCTGGAGGAGGCCATTGCCTCCGAGGCCAAGAAAACAGGCAAGAAGGTCGACACTCGCAAGGAGATCGAGAAACTCAAGGATGAGGAGAGATATGTTCTTGAAGTTTACTAGATGGATTTCGTTTGGAGAGAGTTGTTAAGATTTCCGCTACGTTTCCCACACCGCTGCCATTGTGCATGATGTGACGACCCATTTGTCCCACTTCAGTTTAGCGCTTCCATCATGAGACTCAACGATAGATTTGGATTTCGTCGATGACAGTTCTTCAACTCATGTCATCTACATAGACTTTAATTGCATCTCAAACGTGAATCGTTCATTCGGAATCCAATGGGTATCTGCTCTATTCCTCTATACTTGCAATGTAGACTTAACTGATAGCACAAGGCTCACGCCAACACCTTCTATCCCCAAAACAGACACGTATCCATGCAGAGATAGGAAAGAGAAAAGTATTATAAACAATGAAAAGTAAAAATGGACACGGTCCTTCCAAAGTATCTATGCTCGTCCCACGGCTCCTAACTTCGTCTTACCATAAGCCCCACCTTTTTCCTTCCGTAGCTCCAATGCTCGCCGATACGGAGGTGCCGTAGGTGGCTGAACAGGATCCAAGTTGACATAGTCCGGGGGCAAGGAGTATGAAGCATCAGAGTCCCAGGAAGAAAGATCGCCACAGGCGATGAACGGAGGAATCCATCGGTTCTCGATGGCGAAACGCTGGGGCTTATTTGCCAGGGACGGGATTGAAGATTGCGGATGAAGCATGCGAATTTGAGTTTGTTGGTTTGAATCAGGTGCAGACATCGTCGCTGCTTCCGAAAGTGTGACTGTCTCTCTTTGTGATACACTATCCTCGTCGGGTACTTCGACTCCAATGTTGCCGTCTGCAGACACGGGCTGTGGTACTGCTGCGCCGCCAAAGAGAGGGTTCTTCAATGCTTCCATTCCGACTGAGCCGTCATGAATGGCTGGAGGAATAAAGCCCTCGCAAACCACGAAGGCTTCTAAACTGCTCGCGCGACTGCTTCTCGGCTTCGCAACACTCACTTTCTCGAAAACGGTGCGGAGCTGTGCGTAGATGAGGTCGACATCGCGGCCTCGGAAGATCTTGGCTACGAACTTGCCTCCTGGCCTTAAGACGCCCACTGCCAGGTTTAATGCGGAGTAGAGGAGCTGTGACTGAATGTAGATGTCCAGATCGTGCAAGCCGGTGACATCCGGTGCACCATCAGAGATGACGAGATCAACAGGGTGGGGTTGTTGAATGGCCGTAGGGGTGGAGTAAGATGCTGATTCGTAAGCTTCAGGATCGAGGGCACGAAGGAGCAGAGGGATCGTAGACGGATGTGTGATGTCGGCTTGGAGCGTTGTGATGCCTTCCAATGGCGCCATGGGTTGAAGGTCAATCGAGACGATCTTCACGTTTCTTCTGGGCTTCAACTGGGCGATTTCATCCTTCCCCTCTTCTTCGGCTGGCCCCTCACTCTCCGACCCATGATCGATTCTTCTCAACGCCTCGCGCTCTTTTCGCTTTTTCTCGATCCACGCCCGCCGGCCAAAGCTTTCTCCCTTGATCAGAACTCGACTGAGGACTTGACTCCAACTTCCTGGAGCGGCGCAAAGGTCAACGACTCGTGTCACCTTCTCGGGGTTTTCATGTTCGAACAGATCAAATTGTTCATCGATCTGAATCAGTTTGAAAGCGGAACGGGCACGCCAATTTTGTTCCTTTGCGAGGCGATAGTAGGCGTCACGTTTATCTTTGGAGGATTTCCCCATTTTAATGAATTGACAACGAGCCCCCACAGGCACCGGGACTGCAAGGCAGTGGCAGATGTATCAATTGCTCTCCAGCTGGATCCCTGACAGAAATTCAATGTGGGGGAGACGAAGCGATAAGATTAAAATCCGCGAAAAGGCGGGCTTCATTTTCTGCCGCTTTTTTTCATCTCCGCAAGCAAAAAAGATCATCACCGCTTCCATTGATTTGCGTCGCAAGCCACGATTCTTCCACTTGACACCCTTCAGGTCGACACTGGAAATCATGGGCCAAAAAAGGCAGCGCGACTCGAAAAGCTCGACCTTTCACGCCAAAAAGCGGAAGAAGGCCGAGAACGCGACGGCTGCACCTGATCCAGACGACGGCTGGGACGGTATCGTCGGCGCGGACGAGCTGAACTGGAAGGAAGTATCTCTTCCTGACCGTTTCGAAGATGCCGGAGGATTCTTTGGTCTGGAAGAAATCGAAGGCGTTGATATAGTGCGAGGTTCGGGCAATGGAGAGGTTAAATTCAAGGTACGCTGAGATAGGAGCTGGCTGGTTGAAGAATGATGTATTGACACACAATAACACCAGGCTGTTGCTGGGAAACCGAAGAAGTCTATTTTGAAAAAGAAGGCGCCAGAGGGCCAGGAACCCAAACACGATGACGAGTGGTCAGGCTTCAGCGACGAGGACGCGGACCAGCCAGAAAGCCATTCCTCTCCTGCCGTAGAGGAACCTGAAAAGTCGGACACGAAGGCGGACAAGAAGAGCGAGAAGAATGCCGACAAGAAGGAAGCCAAGGATACAAAGAAGAAAGAAACTAAGGCTGCGAAAAAGGAACAGAAGGAGAAAGGTTCGGCAATTCAGCATGATACGAGCATTGCAGGCGGCCTTTCTTTTGCCGCTCTTCAAGATGAGGAGGAGGATGATGGTGTCGATGTTTCTGCTTGGGACTCGTTGGGTCTCTCCCCCGAAATACTCACCGGCCTGTCCAAGATGAAGTTTGCCTCTCCGACATCAGTGCAGGAGGTTTGCATACCTCAGATATTGGAGGGACATGACGTTATTGGAAAGGCTTCTACGGGTTCCGGAAAGACGCTGGCATTCGGTATTCCCATCCTTGAACATTATCTCGAGAAGAAACGCGATGATATTCGTGCAGGGAATGGGAAGAAGTCAGAAAATGGCTCAACTCCAATTGCTCTGATACTGTCACCCACCAGAGAGCTTGCTCATCAGTTGTCGAAGCATATCGGGGAGCTTATCGCCCAAGCTCCGGGTATTAGTGCACGCATTGCGCTTTTGACTGGTGGACTCTCGGTGCAAAAACAGCAACGTCTACTGTCCGGTGCTGATATCGTGATCGGAACACCAGGTCGAGTGTGGGAGATTATGAGCACTGGGCAAGGACTGATCCGGAAGATGCAGCAGATGAAATTCCTTGTCGTCGACGAGGCCGATCGCCTTCTGAGTGAGGGCCACTTCAAAGAGGTTGAAGAGATTTTGAACGCTCTGGACCGCGTCGAGGATGGCGAGGCTCCAGACGGTGAGAATCAAGCATCGGAAGAGGAATCTGATCCTAGCTCTGAAAGACAGACATTGGTTTTCTCCGCGACCTTCCACCGTGATCTGCAACAGAAGTTGGCTGGTAAAGGGAAGTGGACCGGAGGAGATGTTATGGATAAGAAAGAATCGATGGACTACCTGCTGCAAAAGCTGAACTTCCGGGAGGAGAAGCCCAAGTTCATCGATATGAACCCTGTCTCGCAGATGGCCGACAACCTCAAAGAGGGAATTGTCGAATGCGGCGCCATGGAAAAAGTGAGTTCTCGTTGAGCTTCGGTGATGTAGAGACTAGGACTAATGACCTTTCAGGATCTCTTCCTCTACACACTACTTCTATACCATCCCAAACACCGGACACTCGTCTTCACCAACTCGATTTCTGCCGTCCGTCGTCTCACCAAACTCCTTCAAGCTCTCGAACTCCCGGCCCTTGCCCTTCATTCATCTATGGCCCAAAAGGCACGACTTCGCTCGGTCGAACGTTTCTCTTCGCCCTCATCTGATCCCAGTTCCATCCTAATCGCCACTGATGTAGCGGCCCGCGGTCTCGACATCAAAGGAATAGACCTCGTCATCCATTACCACGCACCCCGAACAGCAGATGCCTACGTTCACCGCTCCGGCCGTACAGCTCGTGCTGGCGCATCCGGTAAGAGCGTCATTATCTGCGGACCCGACGAGATGGTGGGTGTCGTCCGTCTCGCTGCCAAGGTGCATGCAAACATGGCAAATGGCAAAAAGCTGCCGCTGGAATCATTGGAGCTGGACCGTCGCGTCGTGTCACGCGTCAAGCCCCGGGTTTCCCTCGCCAGCCGCATCACGGATGCTAATATAGCCAAGGAAAAGATTTCAGCGGAGGACAATTGGCTGCGCAACGCCGCGGAGGACCTGGGCGTTGAGTACGACAGCGAGGAGTTCGACGAATCCAACGGCAAAGGGCGGGGTCGCGGCCGTGGTCGTCAACAGAAGCAAAAGGAAGTAGGAAGCGTCACTAAGGCCGAGCTGGCGGGGTTGCGAGCGGAGTTGAAGCAGTTACTTTCCCAGCGGGTGAATGTGGGCGTTAGCGAGCGGTATCTGACAGCTGGGCGTGTGGATATCGAAGCATTGCTCCGTGGGGAAGGCAATACATCATTCCTGGGGCCTGTCGATCCACTAAACTTTTAACCTGTATGTATATACTATATCAAAGATTAATTGCCTTGAACCATCACATTGGGTTTCAGTCACGATAATTGGGCGTTCGTCACAAACCGCTGTGGTAGCATACATCGACGGACAACTCCGCACCCATAAGGCTTTCTACCTTTGCAATATCACCCTTTTGCCATCAGATAATAAACAGACAAAGTATCGTAATCTCTCATCCCAACAAGGCTCCTCTCATGCTAACGCGAATCCTTACAACCGGTTCAGCTTGCATCTCCGACAAGCTCGAATCCCACACTGTCCACATTGCAAGATATAGTTGGGAAGTTGGTCATGGCACTCCTCGCACTGATGAGCCCCAGGGACGCGTGGCCAGAACTGTTCGTGATCGCATTCATGTCTTTCAAGTAACTGCTGTACCATCTGCTGGACTTGCTCTGGTCTCGCAGGCTGAGCAGGTTGAGCGGGGTCCCTGCCGCGGTCAACGAGATAGCGGGCTCGATCAACCAGTCTGTTCTCGTCCCACAGCTCGCATCGACACTGCCGCCATTTCGTACCGCACGTGTAGCAGAATTCCGCGCCGCACCGACAGCTGAATGTTATACGGTTAGAGTCAAACTGGGCATGGAGATGAATGATAACCTTACGTGATGTGATTGCAACCAGTTCCAAGCTCTATCATGTTTCGGCATTGAAAGCAACGCCGCCAACCCTCGCGCTCGGCCAGTYGAAGGAGCTCTTCGTCTTCGTCCGGGCAGTCACCCTCGTGTGCGGCCTTCTTGCACCGCATGCATGTTCTGGATGAGCAATGACTGCACGTACCGATGTAGGAGGACACTGAATACGGGAAGATGTATTTCGAGCAGGAAGCGTTTGAGCAATAGGTACGATGCGGATCGCTGAACTCAATGGCCTTCTCTTCAAACTCCTGGCTCCGGGCCAAGCCGAGGAACCCACTGACAAGCGAGAGTGGAATTTCCTTTCTGCAGCAACGAGGTGGGAACAGGGTCTCGTCTGTCATTGAGTCTTGGAAGAGCCTTACCGCACAAATCCGGCAGTATATGTGATGGCATGGTGCTGGGATTGCATCTGTGGAAAGAACAAGTTCAGTGCACACAGCACACTCATGGCGAGGTTCCTCGTCGGATTGGGCAGGGATGCAACAACGCTTTGGGTTCCTGGAGCTTTCAGCCTGTGCGTGCTGTCTAGCAACTCTCGTGGGGAAGAAGTCGAAATAGGCGTCTGCAAGCGTCAAATCAATGAAGTCCTTCATTTTGTCTTCAGAAATCTGGACCGCAACTGATTGATCGTGGGGCTGTGGTGGGGGTACAGGCTGTCCGGACAGTTCGAGAGCGAGTCTATGATCATCAGAGGCGCGCAGCTCTTCTTGTCGTGCGGTGGTTACTGCGACGCCGTCATCGACCACAGCTCGAGCAATGCTTCTCGCAAGTCGCTCATCCTCGAGAGATCGGTTGTAGCTGTCTATCTCTTCTTGCCAGAGGTGAAGAGCAAGTTCTTCGTCTGACACTCGGCCTGCGGGCTGCTTACCCTTGGTTCGGTTCATCGTTTCCGTGATGTCCTCGCGTAGGATGTCGAGAATTACTGCGGAGCTAGCCACATCCATGCTTGGTAATGTAATAAGTACTGAGGTGTATAAGAGGCTTGGAGATGGGAAAAGAGGAACAGAAACTTGGGGTGTCTGGGATGGATGAAGAAGGGGAAGGGAGAGTAAGGGAGATGGATGTGTTGAGGTGAGAGAAGACTGAGCAGAGAGCAGATGTTTGGCCATTCACTGAGAGCAGCATATGATTTCCAGCTAGACAACACATTCACTTGAGAACCCCTCTTATGTCATTTGCACTTTGTCTTTGAAAGTTAGTGTGACTTGACAGAATCAATATGATTCATATAAGGTTCACATGTTTTAAGGCATAGGAGAAACAGATATGATTCTGTCAATGAGAATGTAGACAAAGCCTGAGCGTATGAAGTTAGTGAGTACTCTGTAACCCTTCTTTAGTACTCTGTAGTGTACAGGAATAGTGAACAGGTTTGATGAATCGTCAGTCAAGAGCTCCAGAAGAAATCATCAGAGTAATCAGAGTGAAGACTTGAGATAGTATCGATGTGCCAAAGCTATAAAGGCAAGCTGAGAGTGCTCTTTATACTGAGAAAATGGACTTGATGAGGTATTAACTGTATTTAAGAGTCTGATAGAGTCACCTATTTCCTTATATGTTTGATACTATCATATTCTGTCACTTAGTTCTCAGTTCATACTTGACACTGTTACAAAAATGCA